TAAATTACGTTTGGAATAAATAACTTAAAACCGTTTGTCTTTACTAATGCTTTTTTAATCTAATTATGCGAATTATGCAAAACGCTTTTTAAATAAAGTAACAACTAACAACTGACAATTGTTTAATAAACGTGCACATTTAAAAGTTTAAAAAAAGAATCTAAATTCTTCACACTAAAGAAAAATAATTAAATCATTTATTTAAAATTTTGATTTAATTTATTTTATTTAAAAACATTTATAATAAAAAATGAATACTTTTAAAAAAATGTTTTTATAAAAAATCATTAACAGTGACTTGTTATTTTATTTAAATTCAATAAAATAAAAATGTAAGTAAAGATCGAAGTTAGTTAATTCAAATGGCTTTCAAAAAAGTTTTTCTTTCCTTCTCAAAAAAAACTTCAATGACTCTTTTATAAAGTTATTAGAGACATTCGCTTATTAAAGTCTAATTTAAAAAAAAAATATTTTTACTTATAAAAAAATCTTATATAATTAAATAATAAAGATAAAGAAATAAACAACTTTAAATGATAATTAAAATCTTTATTTAAAGCGTTTTGCTAATACAAAACGTTAGTAAAAATAAACGCGCCAAATTTATTTATTTTCAACCTAATTAAAAAACCATTTTTTTAGCACATTTGTTAAAAGCCATGGTTAAATCATCATAGCAAAACTTTATTTACGTGGTCATATAAAGACTAGAAATCGCACACCTTCCTGGCAAAGCCAGTGTATGCTGCATCATCTTGTTTCCTCAGCCATGAACAGCCTTCTACTATTTCCCCAACCACTTCCAGAACTATGCCAACAGCTAAACTGCTTACATTGCACCACACTGTTGCTTCAGAAATCTTTTTGACAATCCATGACCCATGAACAGGATCTGCCTTTGTAAGTCTTTTATTTAAACTGCTTACTAATTTGACAACACAATCGTTCACCAAATTCTAAACCCTTTTTAGATAGCTGCACAAAGGGCGCAACCAATTTGCTATTGGAAAATGTCAGGTCAGCTGTCCACACCAAGAAAAGATTTGCCGACGTGTCATTTTTTCTTCATGAACTTTGGGTATGTTGTCACGCTTCCAATAGACTTTGTTGCATTGTTTGTACACTCACAATCCAAGCACACACCCACCGACAAGTTTTTCTGGCAACTTAGAATTCAAGCCATATTTTTTCAAGAGTTTTTGAACTCTGCAACTTGAGACTATGTTATTATTGACAATGTCATCAATAAACGAAACCGTCCCAGACTCGACAAGTTTGTCTAAGAACAATATCTTTTTTAAGATTTTTGTCATTATTCTTGGCACCACATTTAAACCAAAACCCCATCTTGTTAGATAGTAATGCTGCCCTTCATATTCCACAACTTGATATTTCCATAATGACACGAATCTACAGGTACGCTTTCTTGAAATCGATTATCTCAAGATTTTCTCCCAACTTTCTCCAGCTGTGAAGTTTGGTACTGCAAACATCGCCATCTGCAGTATGACTGGATACAATTTGATTCAGCTACCGGTAGTCCATCACCGGACATACTTTTAATTTGTTTTGTTGAATTACTGCCATCAATGGAATGATATCATTACATTTCCTTTTAAATGGTTTCAGCCATCCCTGTGCTATCCATTCACTTATTTTCATTGCATACTCACTTTTAACCTCTTCAGAGATGTGATAGTGTGGAATTTTGTTTGTTAAAGTTGGTGGTTCCATCAGCCATTTCCAAGACACGCTCCAACTACCATTTTTGGATTCTGCTATAAAGTCTTTATCAATCAGCTCTTGAATAGTAGGCGAGAGTACTTCATTTGCTTTTTCTTGAGAGATTGCAGTAGCGCTTACTGTTAGTTGCCCCACATTGAAGTTTATGGTTTCGCCGTCTCTCCCAACTTGGACACCTCTGAGCAGTCATATTGCGTCCATACCAAGTAGCATTTGATATTCAGGAACAATGTTGGCAACCAGGCATTCCAAATCGATGGTGGTATCGTTTATAGAAAGATCAACAATAGTCTGGTATTTTACTTCAATTGAGTTTCCATTCATCATAACAATCTTTTCTCTTGCGCGTTTGACATTTTTTATGTTTACAATATCCCGACTTAAAATTGATTTGGAGCAACCAGTATCTAACAATGCTTTTATTTTTCTTCTATTGACATATACGCAGATAGTTTGCAGTTTTTAATTTTGTGGGAATCCGCTTGCACAAAAACGGGTTGCTACCCTTCCATGTTTTTTGAGTTCGTACACTTTTTATAGCAGTGCTGGGCCAGTTGATTGTTCATTCCACACACAAAGCACCTCTTCTTCTCAATTTCTTTGCTGCAGTTTTGACTGATATGTCCATCCTCGCCGCACTTGTAGCACGTTGTGGTCTTTTTTCCATGTCCTTGAGGAACCTGTCTTGAACTAATGGCAACAGGATTCACACAACTGACAAAACACAATTCTTTGCGACGTAAGATTACCAAACGTCTTGATTTTTTAGCGATCTGGCACAGCATCATTGTTTATATTTAGCATGCAGTTTAAAGCTGTTTTCTAGCTTTGTCAGGTAATTCAAGAATAAATGTGCACCTTATCCACTCTTCGCTTACATGAGATGATATTAGCTTGCTCAGTCTAGTTAATTCTGCAAGATACACGTTAACAGACTCATTCTTTTTAAGACGGCAATTTACGAACTCTTTGTATGCTGTTAGCAGAGAAGCAGAGAAGGCAGTAGTCTGTGCAGTTTTCACTTCATTGTAGTCTTCTTTTATCTCATCACTTAGACCTTGATAAACGACAAACGCCCCCCCCCCCCAGAAAGAAACAAGGGAAGCACCACATGCAGCTTGTTAACTTTTTTGAAGTTTTGCTTCCAGTTCCAATTTCTTTTTCCATTCTGAAAAATCACCCGAACCATCGTTCTGTGACACTAAATCCGCAAATTTTATCACGATACTCATTGCTGAAATAGCTTGTAAATATTAAATCTATATTTGTTTTTTCTTACTACCTTTAAGAATATCTTTACTCAATATATATACATTCGCAAATACCCCCGAGGGTACAATAAACATTATAAACATTATATACAATATAATACACGACGCGCCTACAACATTCCTTATGACGCAACACAATAATAGTTTAAATATAATACAATTATTTACGCTAATTACACTTTTATTACATTTTCATTTATTTTTATTACTTATAATTAATGATGAAACCACTTCTAAAAAATTAGAGAAAATAGGGAGATACAACTGGAAAGCAATGTTTAAAGGTTTTTCAGCAAACAACTACGTACTCCTCAATGCAAAATATAATGAATCAGTTAACAAGCATATTCCTTCTACATCTGTATCTTTTGTTACTAAAAAGGCACCTTGGGTTACACTTGAGGTAATCAAAGCTAGGGAGCAGTAACAGGTACTATGGCAAAAATATTTAACAGCAGGTAGGCAAACCCCTAAGTCTTTAGGAGAACAACACACATTGCAAGTAAAAAAGTTGTTATGTTGGTTAAAATAGATATATAAAACTATGAAGAAAAACTCGCCAAAGACTCCAAGTCTGACCCAAAGAAGTTACATGCACATTCCCGCAGTAAATAATGTGTAAAAGATCTAAATGAACACTCAAAACAGCCAATGGTACGACAACAGTGGATCACCAAACAATATGTTTAATACTAAATGGTTCTTTTGAGTCAGTTTTTGATACAGTATTATAATTTTGATACAGGTTTTGATACAGATATGGTTGGTGACATGCCAATCTTTGAAATGAAGTATGTGTATTTAGTAAAAATGATATGGCTTTTAATCAAGTGGAAGCGAGACTTAAGGATCTAATAGAAACTCAATTAATGGGCATAAATGGCAATTCATCCACCTGTATAAAGCAGACTGTATTGCTTTTACACTAGCAGCTTTGTGCCTGATCTGTGAAAGAAATCAAATGTGCCACTGATATTTCAAAAAATTAGTAATCTTTAAGGGTGCAATTAAAAACCTTTTAACAAAACTTTTGACAAAGTTCCTCATCATAGACTTCTTCACAAACTTCCCAAGGTAAACTATTAACCTGGATCGAATCTTGGCATGAAGGCTGAAAACAATGAGTTGTCTTTACTGAACATAAGTCAGAATGGAAAAACACCAATACCGACATACCGCAGGGATCAGTTGTTGGCCCACTATTGTTTTTGTTATTTATTAATGACCTGATGAACAATGTTGCTCTAATGATGAAACTCTACATCTAAAATAGCGATATGATTGCAATAATTAAATCAGATGAGGACAATGACTCGCTTCAAGCTGCATTATATAATGCAGTCAAATGGTTACACTAATGGTTTATGTTTTTTAATATTGAAAAATGCAAAGTAAATTAGCTAACAAGTCTGTGCATAAATACAAGATGACAAATATTAATGGTACTAATTGAATATTATCTGTAACAAAATAGAGCATAATTAGGGGTTCTTGTTTCTGATAATCTCAGAGATCAAGATGTGTCAGAGCACATATAGAAGCAATGGCCGCAACTGTAAACAGTGCACTAGAGCGCCTAAAAAAGGCATTCTGAAATCATAGTTGCTATTTCTGGTGTACCCTTTACACCACATACAATAAACTTAATCTAGAATTGTCCAGTCATGGTTGCTATATTAAATAAGTGAGTTCTATATATATATATATATATATATATATATATATATATATATATATTATATATATATATATATATATATATATATATATATATATATATATATATATATATATACATATATATATATATATATATATATATATATATATATATATATATATATACTCATGTATTGAATCGGCTATATATGTTTATATGTGTGTGTTTGTGTGTGTGTGTGTGTGTGTGTGTGTGTGTGTGTGTGTGTGTGTGTGTGTGTGTGTGTGTGTGTGTGTGTATTACATTGGTTAAGATTTTTTACTTACCATTTGGACCAAGAACTACATTCAAATTTTCGCCAGGAAAAAATTCACAATCATCATAAGTGCTATAAAAAAATTTTTTTTTTTTTTTTAATTGTTCAATTTTTATTCAAGTTAATTTTAAGCTTAATTTTTAAATAAATAAAATTTACTTACAGAAAATTCTTTAGTTTTAATCTAACGATTCTTCCATCAACTGTATCTTTTTTTGACATTTTTGAATTAGCACTATAACAAATTAAAAAAAAAAAAAATTAATTTCATAAAAAATAATAAAATTAAATCAACTTTAAAATTAAATTAACTTTAAAAATTAAATTTAAAGTTACTTTAGAATAAAATTTTGTATGTAATCCTTAGTTAAAATAAAACTTGTAATTTTTAAATTAATGATCTAACTTCAAAAACTTTAAAAGTTCTCCAAACTGGATTACAACATGTTCAATCAGCCAATATTTGTATAAGTTTGTAATCTACTATGAATATGAAAAGTGAATTATATCTTTAATCAAAAGCATTTTTCAAAGCTAAAAAAGCCTTTGACTTTTAATCACTTAATCGGCCTTTTTATTCATTTTATCTACAAAATTGATTTTTGTAGTATGTTACATTATTTTTATAGTATGTTATGTAGCTACGCAATTGTTATATTTTAACAATTGTGTAGGTTTTTATGTTTGTTCAACCATTTTATGGATATGAAAAAAAAAGTATCTTTTGAACTTTTAAGAATGTATCAATATGTTAAAAGATTAAGTATTTAAGAATGTATCAATATTGTATTAAAAATGAATAAAAAGTTGGAGTCACAATTAAAAGTCAAAGCCTTTTCAGCTTTTGAAATATTTTAGATTTGTAATTGAACATATAGGTTATATTGCTACATGTTCAACATGTAGGAAATTTGTAGTAAAATGGTGATATGTTTAAGTATGTTGTTTATCCACTTTTAGTGGATATCTATAATTTTTAGTTAGTGTCTATGTTTTCTGTATACCTATATAATAACTATATTTACTTTAACTAGAAAGTTATACAGTATATAAGTTATATACTATATATATTATATATATATATATAGTATATACTATATATATATATATTATATATATATATAGTATATACTATATATATATATATATATATATATATATATATATATATATATATATATATATATATATATATATATATATATATATATATATATATATATATATATATATATATATATATATATATATATATATATATATATATATATATATATATATATATATTTTAGCATGAAACTAATAGTTGTGAAAAATATGCAGTTTTATTTATAAATAATATATGTATATATATATATATATATATATATATATATATATATATATATATATATATATATATATATATATATATATATATATATATATATATATATATATATGTATATATTATATATATACAAAAAAAAATTTTTTTAATAATTATTCGCTTTTTCAGACTATTTGTAAACATCAATTAAATAATATTTAAAAATTAAATAAAAATTAAGTGCAGTTTTATTTATTTATTATTTTAAAAAAAATTAAGTTATTTTTTTTTTTTTTTTTTCACTTCAACTAGAAAGTTATAATATAACTTTCTAGTTAAAGTTTCTAGTTATAACATAACTTTTATTAAATATTTTTTAGATGATATTAACAAAAGCGGATAATTATCAAAATTTAATTATTTTGACTTTCCAAAAGCTGGTAGATAAATTTAATATATAATCTTAAAAACGATAAGAGACCACAAATTTAACTGCTGTTCACTTTTAATTAAGCGTGAAAATATAGGAAAAACGTGCTCTCAAAATAAACATGTCAATTAATTCACCATAGTTTCCATAACTTTCGCGAAGCACAATTTCGCGTATGCGCAATTCGCAATATGATCATTTTGTTTCGTTGAAACAGTTGGTGACTGTTACCATAATCTATAGAAATATACCCTATATTTCTATAAACTATGTATATTTATTATTTCTATGTAACTATTATTACTATGTATATTATTGTTATTTCTATAGACTAGGTATATTTCTATAGACTATGATGTTACTTGATTGAAAAAGTTTTTTTTTTCAGAAAAGTCGTAAGCCTATTATTAATTTAACTAAAGTAGTGACTAAAGTTGATTTAAAACGTTATAAAAAGTTTCATTTGTAAATAATTAATACCTTGATATTTTTAAAAATAGCTTTTCGTACCGATGCAACGGTACGAAGAACCAATGTGATGGTTCTACGCTAAAAAATCTTGAGCGATATTACAGTATCAAATATTGCATTACTAATTATTTTGCATTATTAATGATTGCATTATCAATTATTGCATGATCAAATTAAAAAAACTATTGTCTCAAATCTTTACTTTTCAACAAAAATAACTCAAATCTCTACTTTTTTCTTGTAAGCAGTTTTAGAAGTCATGAGCGTCTGATTCTAATAACCATTGAACAGCATGAACCAGGGGAATTATGTACATTTATCTCTTTTCCATAGATATTCATTCTTTTTAATCGTTTTTTTTGTTCTTTACATTCTAATTTTTTCTTCATATACTTTCTTGCAAAGGAGTATATGTTCCTTTTAGTACGTTAGCGTTCGAAAAAGCAACACATTTTTGCCACATATTTTTCACGTCTTAATCATGTAAAATAGTAACCGGGAAGAAGTCACTAAAAAAAAAAACAAGTGATTAAAACGTGCATAAAAAGTTGGGTGCCGACTAGGTGTGAGAATAAGATGTGTTAATACTTTTTATAAACGTTTAAAAAACGTCTTGTGCCCACAGAGTTAGATTCAGTAAAATCATTGAAGAGAAATCCAGCTACCATACATACGTTGTTTAAATGTTAGAACAATGTTGCAAGTTGCGTTGAGATAAGGGTCATTTTTTCTTTCATTACCTGAAAGGTAGCAATGTAAGGTCACCACTAACTTTTTTAAGTTCAAGTTAATACTGTTTTTACTTTTAACCGGAACAAATAATAAATTTACAGCTTATACAATGTTAAACCGATCAAAAGCAATTCAAAATAGTATTGTTAGTGAATAAATGATGTTCCACAGACTGCGACAAGTCCGCGAAATTTCACTACCCAGACTTTTCGCTATTTCCAAGTAATTCAACCCTAAATGGCAATACTTTACTTTTATTTTAATACGTAATAAATAATCAAAAATACATTAAAATTAGAGTTGACATAATATCAAATCAAATACTCTGAATAAAGTTGTTACATCAAGGATATTTACAAATAGTAATTTGTACTAATATAAAGTAAACACCTGTCAAAATAAATAAAAAAAAGATGGAGATAGTAATAATAATAATTATAATACAAGTAGGAATAATAAAAGTAATAGTAGTGATTATAGTGATAAAAAAAATAATAGTAGCGATTATAAAAAGAATATACTATAATAATAATAATAATAATAATAATAATAATAATAATAATAATAATAATAATAATAATAATAATAATAATAATGATAATAATAGCAATAATAACAACAAAAATAATAACAACAACAATAATAACAATTACAATAATATTCATTATGATAAAAATATAGTAATAATAACAACAACAGTGATAAGAGAATACTATAGAAACATATCAGTTTATAATAATAAATTTAATAATTGATATTAAAATTAGTAATATATCAAGATAGAAATGAGAAAAATTAAAAGATGAATAGAAGCACTGCGTTATAAATAATAAGTTGTAAAAAGGTATAAGATTTATAAAGAGTATTTTTCTAAAAAATGGTTAAAGAGAGCAGTTTTAAATTTTGAGAATGATTTAAGAGATTTTAATTGGGAAGGGAGATTGTTCCAGGTTTGTATGCTTTTATGTTGTATGGATTCGTAGTAGATCGTAGAATATATTTACAATTTTCCCTATAACTAAAAAAGTTGATAAATGTAAGAGGTAAGTTATTATGATTTTGGTTCCAAACAAATAGACAATTTGATAGCTGAATAAGGTCACACAATTTAAGAACTTTAGATAAAAAATAGAGTATGCTACAGTTCGAATTAGTATGTTGAAAGTAAATTAATTTTAGAGCTTTGTTTTAGAGATAAGTTAGTCTTAAAAAAGCAAGCTGCTTAGATTGTCCCCAAACTTGGCAAGCATATCTGAGATGAGAGTGAAAAATAGCATGATATAAATTAAGCAAAGTTTCATGGTTAACAAAATGACGAATTTTAGCTAAAACACCATTCGATCTGCTTAATTTCAATGCAAAAGATAAATTAGAGTCTATTTTGATTCCAAGATATTTAACAGAGTTAACTGGATTTATTTTTTGGCCACTTAATCTGAAATTTAATTGGTTATTTATTTTTGTTTTAGCAGATTTAAATATAGTAATTTCCGTTTTTTTAGAGTTAAGAGATAATTTATTGGAGCGGAGCCATTAAACAACATTAGCTAGATCGTGATTCATATTTTTGTTAAGTTTTTTAAGTGATTTATTAATTAGGAGTAAGTTGGTGTCATCCGCGAAGTGATAAGCAGTAGAAAATTTAGAAGAAACATTTAAATCATTGATAAAAATAAGAAAAAGTAATGGACCTAAAACCGAGCCTTGCGGAACACCATTAAAAGATTTAGCTAGTCCTGAGTTGATACCATTAATTGAAACAAATTGTGTTCTATTACAAATATAAGAGGAAAACCAGAAAAAAGGAATGTCTCTTATACCGTAGTGTTTCAATTTTTCTAAGAGGATTGTGTGCTCAACTGTATCAAATGCTTTTCTTATGTCAATAAACACTCCACACGCAAAGTGTTTATTATCGATGGCTTGTCTAATTTTCTCTGTTATTTCTATTAATGAATGAGTTATTGAGTGTTTGTTGCGAAAACCATACTGGTGTTTGTAAATAAATTTATGTTTTTCCAAAAAATGCTCGAGTCTTTGGAACATTGCTTTTTCAAATAGTTTACTTAAGTTAGAAAGAAGTGAAATAGGTCGATAATTGGAGTAGTCTAGATAAGAGCCCATTTTGTGTATAGGAATTACTTTGGCTACCTTAAAAGCTTCTGGAAAAATACCATTTTTGAAAGAACTATTCATCATAGTACATAAAGGTTTGGAGATTATGTGAGATAAAAATGTTGGCAGACTATTAGGACCAAGGCTTTTATTATTTTTAAGAGTATCTTTTATGAGACTCGCCACCTCATTTTCAGTCACGGGCTCAATGAAAAAAGAATTAACACTAGGTATTTTAAGAAAGTTGCCAAAAGCACATTTAGAGGGAACAGTATTTTTAAGTAGTTCGTCTTGAATAGTCATAAAATAATTATTAAATATATTAGCAACACTGGTATGATCTGAGATGATATTTTCATTGATTTTGAGGTTAAAAGACTTAGTAGAAGTAGATGGTTTGATGTTTATGATTTCCTTAATTCCTTTCCAGGTATTCTTTAC